TTGTAGATTTTTCTGGTTCAGGCTAGTGTTTAGGAAGCCTGAAGAGATAAGAAAACTTGGTAGAAATGCATACATGATGTTGAGTTGAGAAGTATCTAAAGAAGATAACTGTTCTTCTAACTGTTTTGCCAGAGGCAAGGAGAATGTTCAGAAAAGTACAAATCTTTATAATGTTGTCAAACAATGTCCCCCAATTTGGTGTTTCTAGGTAACTCTTGGAACTACACACCTAACTGTTTTGCCAGAGGCAAGGAGAATGTTCAGAAAAGTACAAATCTTTATAATGTTGTCAAACAATGTCCCCCAATTTGGTGTTTCTAGGTAACTCTTGGAACTCCCAGATAGCTTGGATAAGCATTTTCTTAAAAATTAAGAGTGGGAGCAGTGGCATGTTCAAATGGAGAGGAAAATAAATCACTAGAAAGATTGAGTTAAACTCTTGAGAGCATTAGGAATGCTTCACTCTGTTACTGTTCTAATACTCTAATAATATCTTCTGAGTCTTGGCATGAATTATGGAATTTGATACATTGTGAATTAATGAATACTCAACTGTTTATTCAAAAGGTGATACTGTGAAAGATCCTGCGGCCCACCCAAAAAAAGGCAAGGAAGGAAGGAACAAGGGTTTCTTCTAATTTTAAATTTACTTTAGTGTATTATTTACTCAGAGACAGAGGGGAGAGGGAAGGATTTATTTTTTTCTTCCCTCATTTTTCAAAATTCTGAAAATATTTAGTTCTGTTGCCTGCTCTGGTAAACAAAACTGGTAGGATGCACATGGAATCTGCTAAACTGTTCTAAAGATTTGTCTTTGTCTTTGTTGCTTGTTGAGATCTGCTTTCATATTACACTGTAGAATTGCTCTCCAAAGAGACTGAATTGCAAAGTGCTGCTGAAAGAAAAGACAAATGGGGAATTCCAGAATTTGCTTAAGTTCTGGAGAACATTAGGAGCAGAAAAGTTAACAAGCTCAAAGGGACTATTAGGACTAAATGAAGCTCTCCAGTATAGCTACAACCATCGGCAGCTGGAGAATCACTAACTGGGACCTCTGTTAGAGCTTCACTGTTGCAAGCCTTTACTTAAGATCAAGGTGGTTTATTTTTAAGCAATTTATTTATCTAATGAAGGATTTTCCTGGTGTGGTTATGGTCCACTTGAGAAATTTGCACAGTAATGCACAAATAGCTACATTTGCAGCTCAATGCCATTCTTAGAAGCACATGGTTCTGAAAAGCATGTTTGATGACTGTTGTTCAGCTATGGGACTCTCATTGAAAGGGATTGCAATGGTGAAACACCATTTTTTTTGCCGCAGAAATTCTCAGATACAATCTCAGCCTTTGCAGGTAGGGCTCAAAAACTTATTTCTGGAATTCTAGGTGGCCCATTGCCTTCTTTACTGTGCTAGATAGACTAATGATCTGATTCAGAATAAGATAGATCCTTAAGGTCATCTAAGAATGAATCTGGGCTTCTGTTTGAATTAACAGCTGATCATGCTTAAGCAAGCATGGCATTGATATAATTTAAAATAATTCATATTTGCATATGCTATAGCTTTTCTGTTTAATATGGATGGTCACTATTTTTTCTCAATCTGTCCTTAAGAAATCATGTCATGTTTTGTTAGTAGCTATTCTCCTCCACACTGCTTGGCTTTTAGCATTTCTGTCTCTGTACAGCTCATGTTATGTTCTAAGAACAATATTTATTTTATTTATTAAAAAATCCCCTCTCACCCCTATGGGTGGTATGTGTCTTCCTCAATCTCGGGTCCTCTACTAGAGGCCCGGGGGTTTGGGGGTTTTGTTCAGTATCTTAGCTGTTCGTAGCACTGCACTCTTCTGGACAGAGAGCTCTGATGTTGTTCCTGGGATGTGTTGGAGTCACTCCCTAGCTTAGGAATCACAGTCCCAAGCCCTCCTACCAACACTGGGATCACTTTGGTATTTACTTTCTGCATCCTATCCAGTTCCTCCTTTAGGCCCTGGTAGTTCTCCAGCTTCTTCTTCCTGATGTTGCTGTCACTTGGCATCACTACATCTGTCATCACCACTGTCTTCTGGTCCTTGTCTACTACCACGATGTCTGGTTGATTGGCCAGTATCTGCCTGTCTATCTGGATCTGGAAGTCCTACAGGAACTTAGCCCTGTTATTGTCCACAACCTTATGTGGAATCTACCATCTGGACTTGGGAGAGTCTAGCTCATACACTGTGCAGATGTTCTTGTACACAATGCCAGCTACCTGGGTTGTGTATGT